TAAAAGAATACGATGAATGCATGATTATTTAAATTTCATCACTTAAATTCAATCTATCTAAATTTTAGTTTCTTAATTTTCTTACTATATTTAATATATGCATTCAATCAATTAATTACCAAATAACTTAAACTAGAATTCCCATCATGCTTCATAATCTTCAATTATGATTAATTATTAAAAATTTCTTGGAAATTCCAACCATGCAATAAGCTCGATATTCTTAATCTATGATATAATTAATTAAAGTTATTTGGACCAGAAAGCAAAATATGTAAGATAACATTTTATATAATAAATAAATAAATAAATGTAACAATTAAGAATTACCAATAAACTTTTGTTGGCCGGCTTGACTAATCTCTTAATTAATTAAAAGTATTAGGTGGTTTTTGTTACTTCTTATGCTATGACTGCCAACATTTTTTTTATTTAAAAAAATAGTTTTCATTTTCAAGACTCTTATTGTTATTTATTTTTTTATTTATTTCTTTTTTGACTTTGTAGGGTCCGCTAAGCTTAGTTTTAATTTGTGACACCACCATAGCCGCTCTAGTCATGTTAGGCACATCTTTCATACAAGAAATATGTGTACTTTGTTAATTAATTAATTTATTTTACATTTTTATTTCTTTTTTTGAAATTGACATGTGCTATTAAATTAATTAATAAAATAGCGATTATAAGTTTATGTTTTTTAACATAAGATATTAAAAATTCAAATTCTAAAATTCCTTTCTTATTAAACATTTAAAATTAAATTACTTAACTTAAAAAAATAACATTTAAAATTAATGTTCAATATATTTCTAATACTTTCTTTCAAATTCATATAAAAATAGAACATGCATTATTGAATAATATGTACAAATATTTCATTACAATAAAAAAATGGATAGCGATGGAAAAGAGAAATTACAAGAAGTGAGTGGTTTGCGCTCCATTTGAGATAAATGAAATCAAGATATATAATTCATTTATAAATAAATTCTATAGAATTTGGTTGTAAATGAATTTTTTTTGTTTGAAATAAATTTAGAAATTAAAAATTTATTTGCTTTTACTCTTAAAATATATTTGACATAATAATTTTAGAAGGTTAGGAAAATGGAGAATTTTGTCATAAAATTTTGAGCTGTTAAAATTTGTGAAATTCATTTAAAAATTCGACATTGTTTTGTACAATTTGATTTAGTTATATTCAAATCTATAGAATTGAATTCCTAGGATTTTCTTATTTTTTTTAATATCGAATACAAAAATTTAATTAGATTTTATAAATAAATTCCATAAAATTTAATCAACTTTATTTACTCCAAATAAGGGATTAGTATTGGACTTTGATTCTTTCACAAGTATAAAAAAATAATTGCAAAATAAGGGATAATTTGTTATTTTTCGATGACAAATAAATGAGTTAGAGTGTAGAATTTGGATTTAAATTGGTGATAAAATAAGTCTAATTTTATTTTCTTTATAATACGGTGAAAAAATAATTTTTTTCAATTTAGCTATTTCCCTTTTGCCCTTCTTAGATTTTAGGTCCATCGGTGCCTATCATATTGTTCCAAAGGTAGTATTTTAAAAAATTAAAAAAAAAAAGAAAGAAATTACTTTTTTTATATCATCGGTATTCGAACCCTATTATTAGAGACCGACTAAATCAGGTTCGGACTTAGTCACAGTTAAGGTTTTTCGCTCCTCTCTACATGTATATTTTATAGGGATCAAATCTGAGAACTCTTTCCACAAGTTCGGCATGCTGACAACTGAGCCACAAATAAAAGAGGAATTGAAAGCCACAAATAAATGGGATATGGTGCTACAACTCCTACACTTCCTTTCCTAGGGTTGCTCTCAATAATGATAGTAATAATAATTAAACAAAACCTCCAAAAGACTATTTGACAAAATTTGTGCCCTAAAAGACTTTCTATCCCTAACTTTTGTAGGCTCGAGAGAAGAATGCTTCTTAATTACTTATTAGGGTTGAAATTTTCAATTTTTGCACATGCCAAACAAGTGAAGACAAAAATAAGAATTATTGTTTCATAATTTATAATTTTATGAAATTATATTTTTAATCATCATATGATAAGGTAAAATCAAAGTGGCCCTATAGTATTAATTACATTTTTATTTAATCAATCGTATAAATTTTTGATTTTTAATATAATATTTGCTTTATCAGCTATCACTTGAACCGCTCTTTATAATTATTTTTTTATAGTTTTATTTACATATTTTTCAAGTGTTTTGTTATAATACGTTATTTGAATTTCTCTTTTATTGGATCCCAACTACAAACTATAAGCCCCTTTGGTTTCTATAATTTCAATATTAGATTTCTCTTTTTCAAGTTTGGCCTATAATTATTAAACTAATCTTAGATAATGATATTCTTAAAAAAAGAAAAATACTATTGAGATAATGATTGCAATGTGACAATGTAGTCAAATTAAGTAATTTTTATCCAATAATTGGTTAATTAGTTTTAATTACTTATTGATTACTTTTTTTTTAGTATTAGGGGAAGCGAAATTCGAACCTGGATCAATTGTCAAATTGTATATGCATTTATCATTAGGCTATGTCTTGATGTGCAACTCTATTGATTAATTTATTTTAAAGAGAGTTGACAATTTATTAAAAAAAGAATGTAATATAACTGCATCATAATATTCTCATAAAAATAAAAATTATAATTTTGACAAAAGTGATTAATCTTTTGAGTAAAAATTAATCCGACAATGAAAATGTTTTTTTTTTACAACGTTATCTTTTTGGAATACTTACTGCATTCCATGCCCATGAAAGAGTTTAAACTATCGAATATCTATAATATTAAATTCTATTAATAAAAGAAATTTATATGAATTTGAAGATCTAAAATCTTTGATACAGTCTATTTTCTCCAAAATCTAAAATCCTAAAAACTCTCTCTCTTTTTTCAACGGGTTGGTGAGTTCTCACCGGTGGTCACCCTTCCCTTTTTTTTTTTTTTTTTTTTTTTTTTTTTTTTATTTTTTTGCAAATAATTTTTAGATCTATATACAGATCTGAATTATTGTCGTCCAAATATTATGATTTATTATCACCCATATATCGAGATTTTATTTTCAGATTTAGTTCTGAGTTATTGTTATCACCATTATAGTGATTTTGTCTAGCGTCTTTCATTATTTGGATAATTATGCAGAAGAAAACGCAGATATACTTCTCGATAAAAGAAAGAAATTTGAAGGCAATCAAATCGGATCTGTAGAAAGATCATGAAGTTGAACAATGATCATGGAGTTGAACAAATATTATGCTCTGTCAACTCGATCAGATATTTAATATTATGCTCTGTCAACTCGATCAGATATTTCAAATCAAAATTATATTTTTTATTTTTTTTTGTATAAGTGGTTTATTATTAAACTTTCTATACAAAAATATAAAAACATATTGATCTGTATTTCATATCCATATACAATTTTCTCTTAGTGAAATTTCTAGTTTAATTTTCTTTTTTTTTTTAAAAAAAAACTTCAACCACAAGAAATTAACCATTTATATTGTAATTTATGAAGATCTAATCAATAATGATGGATATGAGAGAATAATCCAAAATTTAAACCTAAGCAATCACATGTATGAAATTATTGAATAGAAAAATTATAAAAAATGAAGAAAATGGACCAAAAAGAATGAAATCGAACCACTTTTTATTTTTAATATTGAGAAAATTAAATGAATTTATATTAAATCTTAACATTTATTCAAAAAATTATAACAAAGTGGAAAACAATTGAAAGTTTCGTTAATAGTTTTTAATTTTACAATTTTTTTTTTATGATTTCAAATTGAAACTATTAGCTTTAATTTGAAAAAATAGAAACTAAAATTGAACCGAGAGCACAAGGTTTCAATTACGGTTTAAAAATATTGATCACATTTTTTATCGTTTTGATTTCTTTTGGTTTCAACTGAAGTCGAACTGTTATTTTAATCTATGTAAATATTTTAATCTTCAAATGAGCTGTTGTCAAACGAAGACCATCAAATAATGGCAATATATATATATATATCAAATAAAAATAAAAAAGATTGTGAACAAACCTAGAAAAAAGAAAAAAAAAATATTTTTCTATTTAAAAAAGAAAAATAAATATTATTCGTCATCCGGCGTTAAGGCAGGAGGACTTTGACAATTGAAAATACGACCAGCAAACAGATATAAAATAATATTCTGTATTTTCGACCCCCATTATTAATAGACAGTCATGCTTTTTTTTGACTGAAAATAGCTCTTCCATTATTGATAATTTGAAAGTTCAAAAAAGAAAATTATATATTATATATAACGGTTTGGTTCGATTTTTGATATTATGGTTTAAATTTGAGGCATAACCATAAAATTGGTTTGAGGTTTCAACCACCCGAAATCTGTAGCATATTGGAGAAACATATGAATTTTTCATTTTTTGGCACCCATCAAATCAAAACTTGGAACCATAATTTTAGAATATATCCAGAGCACAAAATTAAGAGAATCAAACTTCAAATTACAAGCATTATGTACGTTTGTGAATCATCAATCGTCACTAAAACCAAACTAAAGTTGAGAGAATATTTTAGGTTGTCTTCTCAGAATGAAAACTTCTTAACTTTAACTAGCAGGATCAAGAGTTGCCATCACAACCACACTTACATTATGCTTCTTTTTATTTATTTTTTTTTCCTTTTAGTTTGAGATTTTCATTCCTTCTATATATAGCACACTAACGATAATTCTCTTGGTAAAACACGCTTGAATTAAGCAAACAATCTGAAGTTAGAAGGTTCGACCTATAGGAAAGTACTTATAAGAAAGAACATTCATGAATACCGAAACGAGATCCGTTTTACATCCAAACAGTTCAGAATACTCGTAGGAAAATCCGAAAGAAAAAGAAAAATATTAAGCGCTTCCAATATAAATGTTTATATAAACATGTGAACTTTAACAGTTACTGTTATGTATATCGAGCTATGAATAAAATATCATTAAAATATATTCTGTAAACAATTGGCAAAAAGAAAACTTTTGCAAATATTACAGGCATAAAATGTTTCACATAATGAAATGCTAGCCTATACAACAAGCTTGAGAACTTGCATGTTCACCAGAAGTGAAGCATTTTTCACTTTATCATTATAGATATTGGCTGCCATCAAAGAGCCCTAGCAATATTTTTGAACTCATTCAAGCAAGACTGCAGTATTTTCTGGCGCTTCTGAAGAGATTGTCTCTCATTCTGTAGCACATCAATTGCATCAGGTGCAACAAACATGTCCATGAATTTCTCATCACTTATAGCAAACAAATCCAGCCCAAGTGCCACAACAAGACGATCCCGGCTATATGGAGCAGAACAAAGTGAAAATTTTCCAGTCAGTTCCTCTAAAACAAACTGAATGCTAACAAGTAACAATAACAAGATAGGGAAAGAATAGCAGTCATAATGCAAAATAGTTAGACCAACAAACTTCAACAAAAGTAGGTGAAATTTTTTGGATGGAATTTGAAGTTTGTTTGGCTTCCCTAATGCTCAGAGAATGAAAGAGAAGAGGTTAAAATGAGAGTCATTTAGATTTAGAAATGGATCAACTGATCATTAAAACACAGGCAGGAAATAGGAATTCAGTGCCATATACTATTCTAGAAATGATGTTGAGGTGACTATTGACTAAATCATATACAATTCTAGAAGGTTCTAAATAATGGTCAAGATAAAAGTTCAATATTTAGATGGCAGCCTCATCTGCCGTGTGTGTTGCACTAGGATACGCTTGTCAATTTCACCACTCACCGTGCATTTTCTTTTCAAAGCATTTTGTATATAATCATTCAGATTCAAATAAATTTCAGCAGACAAAGGAAACTCACCAAGGGGTCAAGAATCCAGAGTTCAAGGTTGACATCACACTTCGCTCAACAAGAACTTCACGTATCCGTGCAAAATGCTGTGCAGCAGATGAGCATATTTCTGAGTAAGCTGAGCAAGATCTTGAATCACTATCTCCACTTCCAAATAGAAGACCACCGCCATTTTGAACTCTTAAATGCTCAGTATTTCTGTTATTTCCTGTCATTCTTGAAATCCGCTTTCTTGGTCCAGCTTCAATGCAGTTTCCAAGCTCCTTCTTTGCCCCACCATATACCACATCACATGGTTGGTCAGGAGATGGGGTTTCAGGAACAGTCATTTGGCATTCTTTGAGAGCTTCTCTAGCTCCTGTACCTTTTCCTGGAGTGGTTTGCTGTTGTGCATTCTTTTCTGGAGGCATGTTCTCTTGTTCTCTCATTGCTTCATCGTGGGATGATTCCCTGGCATCTGATAGCTCAAAACAAAATGAACCAGCGGATGCTTGGTTGAATTTAAAGATAGATGCCGTACTCATGCCAAAGCCTCCTTGAATGTCGTTCTCATAACAGACCTGAGAATATGGGCTCGTAACTGAATCAAGATGATGCCTAGCTAATTGCTTGCATTGTTTGGCAAGGTCTTTTATGAATCTATTGTAAGCATGCCTTAAGGTAGCATGAAAGCCAACATAGCCATCCATATTTCCATTTTTCTTTGCATCTGCAAAATTTTTAAAGTAGGTCACAGTTTGCAAGCAACAAAGATTAATGCGTTTCCAAATGCGGTCCCTAAAACATGAGCAGAAGATGTCATATCATTGGATTAGAATGGGAGGACAATGAGAAGAAACCAAGCACTAAATATCCACTGTTGTCATTGGATTTTATGTATTATCAGCGGAATTCCACTGGCTAACTTTAGAAATTTAAACTCGGGTGAAAGCTGATCATATTCTCAGGAATTACACACAAAAAGGCAAGTTCAGGCTTCTCGCTGCACAACTTGTCGTGCGACAACCCCCTAGATGATTATTCATTGTCCAGTCCATATCACATGCACTTTTTGTTACAGAAAACTAAAAAAGAGAGAATGAAATGTAATTATCAACTTAGTTTGAGAAAACGTCTTACGTTCTGAGTCACGAATACGATTTCTTTCCAGAGCAAGATCAAAGAGGTTCCCCAAAACGAAGGCAAGCCGATCACAGGCAGTGTCAAGAAGAGGAGCAAGCCATGACCGGGCAGCAGCACGAGCAATCTCTGCAGCAGCTTCTGTTACACCTCTACCCCCTCCTCTGCCAGCATGGGCAAGTAATATATTTGCCACCTGTTTCAAGAAGGATGAGTAATTTACCACTTCACTCTTTATCAAATTCAACTACCTTAAATTGGATTACGAGGAAAAATTAAAAATAAATACCTTCTCCCTAGATATGGTTGGGCATTCAATGGAATATGCAGCACACCGGAACTCATGTATCACTCTCTCAAAAGCAGCACCTCCATAGAGCCTAAGCGTAGCATTAGGAGGTTTTATGTGGACAATAACACCTGGCCAACTCCCAATACTACTCTCTGACTGCTCCTCCTCTGTTGTTTTCCCCCACTGCTCTGGTGCAGGATCCGCTGCTCCATCAATCAAAGCTCCCTTCACCGAGGAAAGAATTTACAATTCAATGCAAACTTTACAACTATGGACTTTCTTGCATCATGAAAAGACAAATACAAAACATATATTGATTTCTTCATGTTAAGCAACAACTCATTATTGAAGAACAAGCCCGAGATTGATATAGAGAATTGGGAAGTGCTGAACAATAATATAAAATAAATTTGATAGAAATATCATTGATTGAGAAATAGACAATTCCCAATAGAAATATTTGATAAACGGTAATGAAAGCACCCTGTAACTAACTGAAAATAAAATATTATGTGAAATAACAATTTGTCTAACCTGATGTAAAGTTACTTATGGTCTACAACAATTTGCAAAATGATCAAACCAAATTATTTACCACATGATTGCTAACAGAAGCTGTGTACAACATTGCAGATCTGCGCAGATGAGCAACATCAGAAGTAGCCTGTATTTTAGAATCCATTTTGGCCAACTCATTGGAAACTTCACCACACCGCTGCTCAAGCAAAGCTAGTGTTGCTGGAGCAGCTTCTTTATATCTCTTTTGCAGCTCTGACTCCAGATAGTCCCTCAAACTGCTAAAACCAATGTAAGGCCTAAACTTGTCTTCATCAAATCCTCCCTTAATACCATCACGTAAATGACGTAGGACTTCTGAATCCACCTGAGTTATTTGCCTCCGGAACTCATCATTTGAGATGGTGCTTCTGTCCTTCGGTAAAGCCACAAAGAATGGGCGAGTGCTCTCACCAAGGTACCCACTCGCACTCAAATAACGATCTACTTCCCATCGGTCGCTAAATTCCTTCAATAGTTGAAACTCTTTGGTTCAGAATCAAGTATTACAGTTCAATGTGTGAGTTAAGTTTCTAAAATACAGTTCCACACCAAGGAAAATGATTTCTTTATTCAGCCATTTAACTTAAACAATCGAATGATCTCCAATTGCACACTAAGACAGTTAAACTAAGCAGGTCACTATATTATGTTCTCTGAAACAAGAATAATCGTCATTTCATTACACAATATTAACATAAAGATGGTTTTAATGACCAACAAATTAGACAAGTTGCATTTTTCTTGTATTATAGTATATAAATACTTATAATTATTAAATTGTCTCAGTCGCCAATGCACTTCCATTGCACTACTTTTACGAATACGCTACAAGATGAATCTAGAGGTACCTTGAGCCGATTGTCAAATTTGGAGACAACTATTATTGTCCTTCTGAATGTAGGATCAATCTCCCGAATTGCATCCAACCACAAAGATGAACACCATTCCACACTACTTTGTTGAAGGAACAAAAGAATTCGGTGAGGAGGGCTAGCCAAGGACTTCACCATTGAAAGAATTTCCTCAGGGGTTTTCTCTGGTTCCCCCTTCTTTGCCTGCCCACAAAATTTCAAATCACTAACAACATTGGAACGATAAAGTTATTAAAAAAGATAATATATTGTAGAATTTCTTTTCTCTTTTAACTTAAAAATAAAAAACAGACCTTAAGGACAAAGCCTGGAGTATCAATAATGGTGAGATTAGGACAATGTGCAAATTCAGCTCTCATCACAATTGGCTTAGGAGAAACAGCAGCTTTAGTCCTTTTTAAGAGTGACTCTGTACGTGATTTTATAATATCTGCAATTGTTGATGCTGACACAACAGGACTCCCATATTCCTCAGAATCCTCTTCCTGTTTTAATTTTCAGCTTTCAGTAATTATGATAATAATAATAATAATATTTTGTCGGAAAAAAAAAAAAAAAAAAAAAAAAAAAAAAAACAACAACAACAGCCAATATTGAATAAAAAAAAAAAAAAAAAAAAAAAAAAAAAAAACAACAACAACAGCAATATTAATAATAAAAAGACCATACCACCAAAAGCTGAGGATCCAATACGAATATAGCTTTGTTGGCTTAATTGGAACATATTACAACTTTTTAACCAATTTGTAATTTTTCAGAAACCAAACAATAATAAAAAACATAAAATTGCAAATATAAAATCCCTAAAATAACAATTTGAAGAATTCCTCAGAATGCACTAAACCACCATGATCCAAAAGCTACAAACATTTAAAACCTACACAAGAAATCACAAAATCTACAAATGAAAATCGAAAACAATGGACCTGAAAGCGACAACGGGGCTCAAGAGCAGTTGGATCATGGACCATCTGCAGAATAAGGGGCCTGCGGGTCCCCATCTCGACCTCGCGGACATTGAAGCGAAAGCCAAGTAGTGCTTCAAGAAGCGAGCTCTTGCCATCCGATTGGCCACCGAGGGCTACGATCTCAGGAATAGGGAGTTTCTCGCCGAAGGCAACCGCGGCTGCTTGTAAGCGATTGTAGGCCTCGAATCTGGAGGTTGAGGACGTCGTGGAGTTTGGGGTCTGTTGATGTTTCTTGGATGAGGACGTTGATGATGGCGTTTTTGTGGGTGTAGTCAAGTAACCATTAGCAGTCGCCATTCTAAGATAGAAGACAAATCGAAGAGAGAGGGAAGTGGAGCCTGTGAGAGTGTATATTTTCGAATTTGAATTCTTGAGGAGAGAGACGTTGGTTTTTGAAATATTTGGTGTTTATTGGCCTTAGTCTTAGGTTTAAAAAACAAGTGGGCTTTTGCTATCCAAAAAATAATGTGGGCCGTAAAAGCTACAATCCCCTTTAACAGCATGCGACCTGAGCCCTTTATGCTCAAGGCATGAGCACTTTCTTTTTTAACCAATACAAACTTCACTAGTCTAAACACATTGCCAAAAAAAAAAAAAAATTGTAACTGTCTTGTATTAAAGTGCTCCATATCTAGGGTTCGAGCTCGAGACTCTGGTTAAAGGTAAAAAGATTTCTACCGCCCCATATTTAGAATTCAAACCCGAAATCCTTGATTAAGAATGCAGAGATTTCTACTATTCAATATCATCTCCCGATAATTATTGCAACTGTTTTTTGTACTTCAAGATTAACTCTCAAAAATATTAAAGCACGAATTTTAAACTGCCAGCAGCATCTGAATTCATTTATAATTTTATAATTTATATTCGTATGAGATGGATTCAGTTATTTGTAGAATCACTTCCTCAGTTTTTTTGTTTTAAAAATTAAATAATAAATATGACTTTTTAATTGGAAAGCACTGAATTTGTTTCTCGAAATTGGTTTTTAGTTTTTTTCCCTAAATCTGTCTTTTTGATTGATACATTTGAATTAAAATGTTCCATCAAAATTGATATTATTTTTGAAATCAGTTTTAGAAGAGCATTATTTTGATAAATAGTTTTCAAAGCAGTAGTATTTCCATCATAACCCTACTTCCCCGCGTGATGTTTTATGCACCATAAGGCACCTAAGTATATTGAAATGTACCAATGGACAAAATACGGTCAAAATCTATTAATCAAACCGAATTGAGGCTACTCGGTTAAAAAGGTTCGGCAGAAAAACAAAACAGTAAATGACACGACAAAATACAGTAAAGGGCAAATGGTTTTCATCTATTGAAAACAGTAGCATTTTAAGTTCAAAAAGAAAAAATGAAAAGCCAACTTTAGCACCAAAAATCGATCCATGTGGCAAATTTGGTAAGTTCGTGAATAAATTTTCGATTCAGTAAATATTTAAATCAATTGGTGAACAGTATCTGTCATTTAAACAGGCAGAACCGCATTCATTCTCGTATGTTTTAACAAAAAGGCTGCAAGCCCCATGGTTCATGCTAGGGAAGCGTCCGATCTAAAATCATTAATTGCAACAGTTCAAAATAGCAAAAACCTAATGAAGAAAATAGCTTCAGATCATAAACTTAGGTCCAAAATACTGTTTCCAATTGTAAGCTATAGATGGAAAAAGTTTTTCAAGACAATCACGTTTAGCAGCCATAAAAGCCAAAAGCTGAAACCATTTAAAATTCAAAACTTTCACTTTTCATTTCCCAAATCAATAGCGTTTATATTGCAGCTGGAAACCAAGCAGACAGTTTGTACCAACAATGCTGACAATGAAAGCCGAGGGCGAAAATCCTACAGTAGAATTGAACACAGGCATCACCTAACTGCGTTCACAGTCACAACCCTAGAAGAGTTACATGCTGTGTCCCATGATCTACTAATGAGCTATTCAAATCAATAACAGAAACTGTGAAGCACTAACAATCTTCATCCATCAGAGCTTCCTGAAAGATCTATATCTTTGATTATGCTGTCATATTGTGCAAGGTGAATTACTATAATACTAAGCTGGGATATATATGACCTCACATAGCAGGATCTTTCAGCTTTCTGCTACAAAGACAATCCGTTGGATTTTGGCTTTGCATAACCCAAATAGGTTAGCTTCTCCACCAATTTTCTCTCAGCATTTACCTAGCAAGACAAAGAAAGGGGAGAAATAAAATAAATGACTAGTGTTTCTGATGTGATAACAAATAAATACATGGTAATTGATTATGAGATTTTTCAACTATGCCAATTAGCAAAGCAAAAGATTCATCCATCAAGTGATAACACGCAGAATTATAGATAACATAAATCTAATGAAAATGAAAGCCCAAGAACAATGGACAATCTTATTTAGACGCTTTTGAAATATTATTGCCTAAAAGTTGGCAAATTAAGTTACAAAAATGCTCCTCCAAATAAACCACACTAAAATTCCATAATTTTGCCCAAATTATTCACTGTAAGCTAGATTAAGTTTGTTAATGGAACCTGCAACAAAAGTGACAAGCAAATATACATGCCATATGTGTGTTAGTGAGAGAGAGAGAGAGAGAACCTCAAGCATGGGACTGTTCTTGGGAATATTACAAGCCAGAATTATATTGAGGCCAGTCTTTAACACTGTAAAGAAACATGAAATTATCTTTAGCACATGAAGCAGAAAAAATCCCATAATCATCAAACTCAGAGTCTTACCTAGTCGCCGAGCAATGCCAGATCCCGTATTATCAGAAGCTCCTCCAAGCAAACAAGTAACACTAGCCGTATTAGTCTGTGACAAATTATCAAATTCAGAGATAACAATAATGAAAAGAAGAAACAGTAACTACTAGATTAACATCAAAGAAAACAAATTTATATGTAACTTACAGGGCGCGTGGGTGCAGCCGCATACAAGTGCCCAAATTTAGCAGAATTGCAGCCAATCCAAGCGTATATCTACACCCACAATCAGTCAGTATTAATTTTTATTTTAAAGAAAAATCTTAAGTAGACTGCAAAAAAAAGTTAAGTTAAGAAGAATACCTGTTTGGAAAGGCAAATGATCTGGAAATGAAGGGTAACATCATCAACGATTTCAGTGAAATTTGTGACCTGCAATCCTCCGCCATTACCACTGGCATTACCATCATTTTGAGCGGAAGATGAGGATGACTCTTCTACTCTGAGATTTCCCAAAGACCCATTTAACACATCAAATTCAGAACTTTCCCTGCTCATCATTAATCATGCTAGCATACACACAGCTCAATTGTCGGACTTGAATCTCAAAAAGAGAATAATTTGTTGGAGCAAACAGCAGGGAGAGCCAGTAGGAGGACGCTCCTTATGTATTGTTACTTGAGCAAGGAGTGGAATGGCAACCTACTTCTTTTCTGGAAGTTAAACTACAAGTCGTTTGCCCATCTGGGTCTGCAATGATGGGCCATAGTTAATTTTTCACATTTCCAAATACGATTTTGTGTGAAAGGTTCATTCAAAGTTGATCTGCTCTTGACTTTGCATTCAAGCATACAGCAGAAAAGAGAAGATATATACAAATACATTTAATGTTGCAAAGAAAAAGATTTCCACTTCAATCAATTGTAGTAATGAAACTTTTGATTTCCTATTCAGCATCCACAAGATCTAAATCACACAAACAAGGGCTAATTACAACAATCATGAAATCTTTTAACATCAATGAAGCACATTATATCACGCATTGGATTCAGTATTATTCAACTGACTTTTCTTGAAATTATTATTTTAAATATTATTTTGCAATTTGAAACTTTTATTGTCATAACATTTTAAATTTGGTCTTAATAAAATTATAGTAACTATCTTTAATCAAAATTTTTAACAGTATTTTATGGATTTAACTGTTAATTGGATCAGAAAATTGAAAATTTTCATAATTCAAGTCTAATATATATTATACTATTGCTTGATTTGGCAGTAAAACTTGTGTACATTAATTAAGCTCTAGGCATAGTTTTATTAATTTAGCAAATTAAGTTGGAAAAGAAGCAAATTAATTAATGAGAAAAGGGCAAGAACAATGAGAACAAAAAGAAGAAATTCATAAAATTCTGCATAAATATTTTGATAAACCAGCAAAGTCAAATCTTATGTTTATATAAATTAGTATATATCCACAAAATCAAACCACACATTTACAATCAAAAGAAAAAGCAAAAGACAAAATTATCCACAGAGCTTTAACAGTAGGAACAATACCTTGCGATTGCGACTACTACTTGACGGAGCGGAGATGGCCGCTCGGATTCAATCTTTCAAATGCCAGAAGAAAGCGGCGATGAATGATTAAGGAAAAATGAGCTTGCAGCCTTTGCTTTGTTTCGAAACCCTAAATTAAAACGATGTAGTTTTGATGTCAGTTAATTTGCACTTGGTGTTTTTCTTTTCATTATTTTTTATAATTATGCTTATAATAATAATAATAATAATAATAATAATAATGTCACGACCCGTTTCCGTGGGTCGGATCAGCACTAGGGCTAGGTAAGTTTAAGGCCCCCGACACCCGTAGTAAGCGTGTAACGCTAAAAATTTCACTTTCTCAATATAAATTTCAAACATTCAACCTAAATTTAACATCTTAAACATTTCACAGATCGAGCTCAATTTACAATACATCTCTTTTATAATATGGGCTAAAAATTTCACTTTCTTCATATAAATTTTCAACATTCACCTAAATTTAACATCTTAAAATTTCACAGATCGAGCTCGAATTTACAATAATCTTCTCTTTGATAATATGAGTTCACCAGAATTTCATTTCATTTATATTTAATACACGACTAAATCGTATGTAAATTCTACAACTTGCGGAGTCATACTAACTGTTTGGTATACATGAGCTTTAATATTACATATAGTTACATAGCAAAATGGTTAATTTGAACTTTAGGGAATTTGCTTTTCTATCCCTTCAAGCGAAGAAACATATTGCTTTACGAATTAAGAGGAAACTTACTTCTTGAAAAAGTTTAACAACGACATGATGCAGTCTTCTTAGGGGGTAATAATTATTGTATAACACACGCATTCACACAAATGTAATAAACAATGATCAATTTAGCTCATCGGACTAGTTATATGCTCACACCAACCAGTTCACAGCAAATGGCCTATCACAGCACTCACAATTATTAACATCTTCACATTAAGCACATTTCACGTGGAACAATAGTCACAGTTAGGCGAGCACTCACAATTATTAACATCTTCACATAATCACATCACGTGGAAAATAGTCAGTAGCGTCACCGAAACCCCCGATGAGCCGTACTCTCACCTGGCCCATCCTCTCAAACGTGTGCACTCGAGGAGCCAATCTCCCATACATGGCCGACCGGTCTAATCCTCACACGACCAATCCTCACATGACCAGTCCTCTCATTGTTTTTACATTTTCTCTTTTCTTTTCCATACTAACAGGAGGCAACCCAATCGTCTCCGTCAAATCTAGATCATTAGGCGCACACAACAGGAGGCCACCCTACGGGCTATCATCAAATCTAGATTATCAAGTGCGCCCAATAAGAAGCTACCATGTGGTTTCTACATAATCCATGGTATCAAGTGCACACGGGGTCGCCGATCTCCCAATTTTTCGGCCGACGGTCCAATTTCATAATTTCATCATAATCAGGATCCATGCTTTATGGACCGTCCTCACAAACTCATGGTGACTCACTTCATCCCAATTCCACACAAACAAAGCATATTTTTTTTTTTTTTTTTTTTTTTTCTTCTGAACTTTCAGGGAGAAATTGCTGGGGCTCAGCGATTACACAAATCAAAGGTTCTTAAGAAGCTACTCAAAGAACAAGACGCAGCTGGAAGAATATATGGAGCGGTTTGCTCTTCCCCTGCAGTTCTACATAATCAGGGTTTATTGAAGGTAATTTGGAGACAATCTTATATCTTCCTAGCATAAACTTGCATGTAATCAAGTTTCCACTTGTTGTGTAGGATAAGAAAGCCACTGCACATCCTTCTGTTGAGAATCAGCTAAGTAACAATGTAATAAATGACGCCAAAGTAGTTATTGATGGTAAAGTGATCACTAGCAAGGGGCATGCTACAGTAACAGATTTTGCAATGGCTATAGTGAGCAAGCTTTTTGGCCATGCAAGGGCGAGGAGTGTAGCTGAGGGCCTTGTTTTTGACTATCCTAGGACTTAGATGTGTTGAATAAGAGTGGAAGTGAGGAAGTCAATGAAGATGCCCCGATCCATGAAGGAGAGCCACTTATCCCAGAGTCTCAGACTCTAATCAGCTAATGGAGAATACAAACTTTCCAGAGCTATTTGGTCAAGGGTTATTCATGGGAGTCAAAGTGTGATGTCCAGTTTTGGAGTCTTGTTCGAATCCTAATACTGAATTTGAAGAAGATGGTGTTTGGGTTTCTGCGAAGTTTAGTGCAATTTGCACCAGTTTTAATCAGGAGATAGGGTTCTTTAATAACAATAATAACAATAATAATAATAAAATAATTAGAAAACTTTATCTATTATGTATTAAGTTAAAGAATTAATCTAAATAAACTTATTAATTATGTGTAGTCTAGATTCTACCGAAATTTCAGCAGAATCTCCCCTAAAAATAGGACTATCCATCTGTTTAAAGAAACACAGCTTAATATATATAGATATCAATCATTACACACAGCTCATCCATCGGGCAATCAAGTAATTTAATTTTTCCCTTCCTCCGTTTCAAAATAACAATATCAATATTACATTCAACTCTCAACATATAAATTGAAATAATCTTCATTGATCCAAGCGCATTATTAGACATTCTCACTTCACCTCAATATAATTAGCAATATATTAGCCTCTCTCAGGCGCGCGGCTTAGCTACGCTTGTCCACACACACATATATATATTTATTATGTATACACATCGAATATCCCACTTGGTTCTCTTCCTGTTTTTCATATTTATGTTGCAGGGTGTTTATTTGCAGTTCAACGGTTTATTGAGAAAATATATTAGTGATTTCAAGGTCTCTTTCGGCTCATAATATAATATTTTCTTAGTGTATTATATTTATTTTATTTTAAGTTTTAAATAATATATTATCCTAAAATGTCATTGTGTTAGAATATACTAGGTTTTAAAATTTATTATGATAAAAATTTTGAAAAAAAGATTCCGTGGCTGTTTGTTTTACAAATAATTAATTTCCGAATTTGCCATGTTTAGTTTACTAATTAATTGTTATCTTTTAAAAAAAGCTATTTTGCGTTTTATCAAATTTAGACACTATATTAAGATTTAAAATATCCTAACTAATTAAAATGTTTCCCTTTATAATATTATAAGGGAAGTCGCTTATTTATAATAAATTACAACTTGATTGTATTATTTATACGTTTTATACAAGGATCACACATTTTATACTTTCATTAATTAAAAGGTGATAATAATGATTAATAATTGTATTATAAATACTAATTAAAGTTACAATATTTAGTTGTTTCATAATTATTATTTTATGTATATTGGATGATAGTTTAACTAAATATATTAATATTTTAACGAACTAATTTAGTCACCAACTTATGAACAAAATTGTTAGAAGCTATATTGGATCTTACTTATTGTACTTCATTTAACTTTAATCATGAATATAATTTATTCTTTAATTCAGAGCGATATGAAATAAATTAAAGGACGCTTCATTATATCATTTTGAAGATTGATATAAAAAATATTATAATTCTAATCACCTATTTCATTATAGATATGTGAAAATAATTTTAGAAAATAAAAAATGTAAAGTATTTCAAAAAGTCAGTGAAAAATGAAGATTCACATAGGATATTTAAAAAAATGTTCAGTTTGAGGGATTTACTTCATTCCTTCATCAATCCTTATATACACATTTATGCTGGAGTGATGAGGAAGTTTCTTTACTCAGGAAAAAGGAAAAAGTAATAATCTGAAAGACAAAAAGCTAAAAAAATATTACACAATTCACGCCAAATACTAAGTTGATTATATCTCAAAAAGTGGTTAATTAGAGTAATCATGCAAAAGACGATAGACAAACACATCTTATTCACGTGCCAAAAAAATCAAAAGTGTCTTAGCTTAGATTGTCACTGTTTCTTGAACCAGCATTTACCCAGCCACCGCGTTCTACACCTGACCGGCCATTCTCTTTCGCTTATATACGGATCATAAACCCCAACCTGAATTGACATTATCGACATAATTCTATAAATTAGGGGTCTTAAGGTAAGAAGCAATGGTTTTGCAAGCAGTACTTACGCCAAGAATAGCGATTAACCAATTGGCGTCCTTTTTTTGCTTCTTCTGATTTTACTTGCTTTTTAATTGCTTGCTTAAATATTGCAGACCATGGAATTTTGTAAGCCCTGAAGGACTCCGTCTTAGATGCGTCCGACGGCCCCATGGAAGTATGCATCTCTTTGCTTCCTCGTTTGCATATTCTTTTTTTTTTTTTTTTTCCTATTTTTTTTTTTTTTTTTTTCTTCTTCTTCTTTTGTTTGTTTACCGGCTTATTTACATTAACCGCTATATTTCGTTGGTTGCTTTTTAGACAAGCTAATTTGTTTTACTAATTTCAGATGAGGCAACTTCGAGCGCAGATTGGTGCCGTCGCCAAGGCAGATGGGTATGTTAGCTACTTATAGTTCAACTTCTATTGGCTTTGATTTAAAGCATTTTAAGTAATATTGGTTTGCAGTTCTGCTGTTTTTGAGATGGGTAATACTAAAGTAATTGCTGCAGTGTATGGGCCAAGAGAGGTATTCTTTATTTTCTTTCTTCATCTTATCCCATTGATAGTGAGCTGCAGTGTATGGGCCAAGAGAGGTATTCTTTATTTTCTTTCTTCATCTTATCCCATTGATAGTGATTAGTGAGGACATCTTTGAGTTAGTTTTTAAGTTGGCTTTCATTCACCTCCTTGTCCAGGTTCAAAATAGGAGCCAACAGCTCAGTGACCAGGCATTGGTAGCACTTCTTCAATATATTCAATCATATATTAGTCTTCCTGCTCTTTTAACTGCAGTGGTAACTCTCTCATCAAAAACTGTGTGTATTTATGTTCATCTCAGGTACGATGTGAGTACAGCATGGCTAATTTTAGTACTGGAGATCGCATGAGAAAACCGAAGGGTGACAGGTAACCTGCCTTTGGTGTATTTTAAAATTGGGATGGTTGAAATAACTGTAAAGTGCTAGTCAATGCAAAAATCTGCCTAAGCACTTAATGTGATTTGGTTAATACATGCTTATAAAATGATTCGTAACATTCTAGGATTGAATTCTTAGTGACTTTTTAACATAGAAAAAAGCTCCAAATATTTTGAAGATTTTGTGCTAGGATTGTTAGGCTAAAACCTTACTACGCCATCCATAATGCTATTGGATGGAAATGGAGGGAATATTGTTTGGGAGCATAGTCTAATAAAATTATGAAGCTTAATATTATACTGATTTTTGGGAGTTTAATTTAGAACATTAAGCAGGCATCCATTCTGCCCTTGGGACATTTTTAGTTTCCATTGCTGTCTCAAAATGTACCAATATAAAGATTGTCAATAAAAAGGTTGTTTACACTTTCCAAATAGTTGTTCAAAAGGTTTTTTTTGTTTTCTTTTACATATATTACAATTTCTTTTTGTACACAGGCGATCAACAGAAATATCTCTAGTTATTCGTCAGACAATGGAGGCATGCATATTGACACACTTGATGCCTCGTTCTCAGGTTATATTGCAATTTTTTGGAACTGTTTTCATATACCTGGATATTGCTCTCCTCAATGCTCATTTCTTGCTCTAAAGCATTGCCTCTATTTTTGCAGATAGATATTTATGTGCAAGTTCTTCAAGCTGATGGAGGTAATATCCAAGTCATTTATGAATCCTTCTGCTGATTCCTAGATGATAATTACTAATTGCTGGAAAAATGACTTAAACAGAAATTATACTAGTAAATCAAACTGATCTTGTGGTGTTATATGGAAGCGTAGAATTTGGGAACACCCAATGTTTCTGTAGCATAAGCAAATAGGCTGAGCCAGCCTATATCTCTGAGAGATTATTATAGTTCCCAAAGTGGTAACGGAAGTTATTAAGATGATTCATTATATTTCCCTAAAAGATTACTTCTCAATAATGAAAAGGTTTTGTCCCTAATCTTGCTGGCCATTTGTGGCCTGCAGGAACTAGATCTGCATGTATCAATGCTGCAACTTTGGCCCTGGCTGATGCTGGAATCCCCATGCGCGATCTTGTCACTTCTTGTAGTTCTGGATACCTCAATAACACTCCTTTGCTTGGTAACTTATCCTTCTATATCATTTGGGCTAATGCAGTTTTGTTTTCAATATTAATTTTAAATTGCAAAATTAAAGTCGGCATTAATAAATGAATGCAGATTTGAATTATGTAGAAGACAGTGCAGGAGGTCCAGATGTTACAGTTGGAATTTTACCTAAGTTGGATAAAGTTACTCTCCTTCAGGTTTTTATCGTCCAAGATATGAACTGCTTAATAATGATCGCAAATTCTAATAACTTGTGTTCTTTTGCTTAGCTGTCACGAATTTTAATCTCATTACATGGGTGGAAATTTAATCATGGTGCAACATACGTTTTGAAAGTCGTTATTTCTGGTGTATTTTCTTCTAGATATTAACTGTCATGCTCCATCCTGACTGCTTCTTCAGGTAAAATATTAATTACAAGAGAGAGAGAGAGAGAAAAAATTCTAGTTGCCTTTATGTGATCCATCTTGCTTTGCTGGATAAGGGTTGATAGACTCAGCTTGTTTAAAATACGTGTTGATTGTTTGTTTGGGAGCAACAAAGTTTGTCCTTAATTTCCAACATCTATTGTTTTTAAGGCGTCTGATTGGGGAGTCGGGATTAGTAAAGTTTCCTTGCCTGATTTAGCATTTTTCCCCAGATCAGATTTTTACTTGTAGACTAATAATCACAATGCTTTTCTAATATAGATGGATGCTAAGTTGCCAGTAGAAATCTTTGAAAATGTTATGCAACTTGCTATTGAAGGCTGCAAGGCAATCGCGAAGTACATTGGAGAAGTAAGGAAATTGTTTTTGCTGCCAGTCTAAAGAAATCTATATATATTGGCACAAGTTATATTATCTTTTTTTCAGTTCAAGATTGGATTGTAAATGATGATTTTATCCGAAATACTTATTTTGGCTTCGTGGCAGGTGTTATTGGAGAATACCAAGCAACTAGAATACCGAAGAAGCTTATAGTTTATTATTAATAATTAGGTGAATAATTCAAAATCTCATAATTTTAACCTAGCATTGTCAAGTTATCAACAATTAAGTGTTGCTAACAATTTCTATTTTTTTGAGTGCAGGTTGCATTAGCGATCACAACAAGGCAAAATTTAGCTTAGCTTGGAAGTCCTTTACAGATGATTGAATTGGCAGTTTTCAGTTAGACCTGTGTGTGCATGTTTGCATACATTTTGCTGTTGTTGCTTGAGATACTTCGTCTTGTTATTTCCATTAGTATTTGAACCGCAAATTATATAGCACAGGTTGGAATATATTTTAATATTAATATTATTTTCAGTCTGGAGGAAAATCTATTATTACCCAATTTGTCTGTAGAAATAGTCAAAGACTGCTCGCCATGGAATGTATAACTTATTGTTGAATATTTTATCTAAGCTTGTTTTCAGGCGTAACACATTCTTTTAACATACAGGTCTCAGGTTTAAAAAATTTTTTTAAAAATATTTAAAATAAAATTACTTTTTGATATTCAGAAAGGTAATTAAAGTAATAACACAAACTTAATTCACATTCGAAAGTGCCTTGTACCATCTGCTTCATAGAAAAATTCTAATCAAGTTCATTAAATATCATCTTCTTCTACCTAGAGGTACTCGCAAACATGCTGATTAAGCATTCTTCTGATTTTGGTTAGAGAATATGATTTCAGCTTCTGTTGATGCCCTTCGATATCGAGTAATCTCTTTCAAAATCCTTACTTCTTCAGCGATGTTCATAGTATTACAAGGGTGAATATGCATTCTCTGTAACAAGGGTGATTTGGATAGCAGAAACTTCACAAACTCCATCTGGGGTTTTGTTCCTACAAAAGCTTTCATCTCCACCTCCTGAAGTTGATGCTGCAAAATATTTGAATGCTTTTGCACTTCTAAAAGTTCTACAACATCCATGCTGTCTTCATTTTGCTCATTAAAAACCTGAAAGAATAACAAACCATATCCTAGTTCATCTCTGCCTTTCAAAATCCATTTAAATTTAGAACATACAGAACCATAATGTTCTGAAAAACTTACATAAATCTTAAGTTTCTGCAGGAAAGGAGAACTTCTAATCAAGCAGAGAGTACATGAAACCTCCTTCAGCTCACCAAAACACAATGAAACAATTTCAAGAGTTTTTAGGCTATTCAAAGGTGCAGGAAGCCTCTCTGGTAAATTCCTTGCAGCCAAAATCTTGAAGCAAACATCCAAAGAAACAGAAAGAAAAACATTACGATAGTACTTAAAATAAACATTATCGAATAAACTAAATCACCACGAAGTTATCTTACCATCAAAAAATAAAAACTTATTTGGAGATGCTCTATACTAGGCAGACAACTGAAAACCTCAACCATATCGATTCCGCTGGCTTCCTTGACCTCTGGATAAATGCCTTTCCACCCTCGAATTACAGCTTTTGTAAGAAGTGGAGTATCTTTGAAACAGATAGACTTGAATAGCAGACTGATGGATAAGAACTTTAGATTAGGAGCAGATATGTCAAGGTGATCCACATTCTGGCAGTTCGTTAGTTCTAATCTTTCCAATAATGGGCATTTCAATAATAAATTTTCAACAGCAGCATTGGTGTTGAAGCAAACATCGTTGAAACTAGCACTGATGAGCTCGTTAAGTCCATCGAATGCAACAGGAAGCTTGAATGAACAAGAAGATAAATGCATATGCCGCAATGTTTTACATGAAAAAATACATTGGGGAATTGTATGAGGTTTACCCTTTTTAATGCAAAGGGTCAGTTCCTGGATGCCATTCCTTGTCAGGAAATCTAACATATGATCAATCTCAGGACAGCTTTCCATTCCAGAAATGGAGAGAGTGAACTTAATTACTGGGCATCGACAAAGTAGAAGAACCTGAAATATAATCAATAGAAGCTCGTTCTTTGCTGGAGGTTGTGCTTTGAAGTGATTCTCGAACGTGTTGTCAAATACAAGTGGAACAGTTTTCCACTTATGCCTCCAATTCTTTGACAATAAACTCGTTCTTACTGCCTCTTGCAGGGGCAAACGTGCAAGGATGTTTTCGGTGACATTTTGTGGGATGTTACTGATCATGTCATGATCAACAATTGAACTAACAATATCCATCATTTCAAAATGATTGTCTCTGAAATCACAAGAAAAAGGAAATGAAATCAAAATGCAGAATTCACATGATGATTTAAATTCAACCATAAGTAATCTTTACAAAATTCTGAAACAAAGATAAATTCCTTGGAACTTTATGAAATAATCATTCATATCAAACATAACATGTATGAATTTGCAAATGAAACTTCATGTCAAACAAGCTATTAATTCAGCAGAACTGTAATCTATTTCATACATGTATAACTGTCAACAAGTAGTAGATATATATATAAGCCAACCCTCAAAGAAAAATCCAAAATTTCGCATACGAGAAATCAGCAAGAGAAAGAAATCCATACTTATTATAAGGCAGAAGTAAGTTGCTTCTCCTTCTCCGTGGTTAATTCAAGTAAGTCAGCTCTGATTCAACCCTCGCTTCTCATTTTCGCCTTCTTTGCGAAGGAAAGTAGTGTTAAAAAGTGGAAATAGCTTTCTGATGGCAACCGGTAGGTTAACCACTTAAAATGCACCACCGGAGTCTGAATCCATTTAAAAATTTACATTTAAAGGGGGTGTATTAGACCATTAGCCCTGTTATAAATTTTTCTAGATTTATTAAAATCTTATGGTATTTAATTCAGACTGCTACGTGATCTATAAAAATTAAATAGTATTTAATTATAACTTTTTAAAAGTATATATAAATCTAATGGTATTCAAAAAATTACTGATTTGAAAAGATTTTATAAAATTATTGATTTCGTTGGATTTTAAAACGTTAGATATATTTTTTTAATTTTTATTTTACTTAATATATATATATATTTAAACCTGTAATTTTTTAGTGAGACGGTCGCTAACGGTGTGCAAACTTACCAACCGAGAGGAATTGAAAATCAAACCGACTTATTTTCGGTTCGGTTAGTTAAATCAAGAAATGTTCAATTGTCAGTTTATTCAGTTTGAACCGAATTTATTAATCGTTTTGAGTCGGTTTCATAGAAATCTATCAGTTGGACTTAAAACTGAATCAACATGGAAAAACCGATCAAAATTGACCAAATTAACTGGTTTTGTTTGGTTTGATTTATTTCAAAAGGTGAATTTAGTTTGGTTCGGTTTGGTCTATTGGTAAAATTTTTTATTTGTATTTTTTTATCTCGATTCGATTTAGTTTAAATCAAACCGACCTTTTGCTCACCCCTAACCGTCCCTATTTAGTTAAGGGACAAGAAGCTCATGATCTTCTGGCCACATTACGATTGTTCCAGGGGAGCAAGCGATAAGGTTAACAAAGAAGAAAACGATTTTGGAGAAATGACTATTTTTTGGTCCTCATTGTTCTTCAATGTTTCAATTGGGTAAAAATTTTTAAATTTGTTCAATTAGGTCTTAAATTTAATTTTAATTGGATCTATAAAAAGCATTGTAATTCCATCAAAATCACACAAAAAAGTCTCACCCAATTCCATAAAACTCTACATAGAATTTTAGTAAAATCTGTGAAAATCTTAGGAAATCCTTTAATTTTATCAAGCTCAATAATTCTTTTAAAATCTAACACAATAGTAATTCAATGCACCCCTTTAATATTCGAGCATGTCCTAAATCCGATTGTAATTATCCATTTAAATGCTCGAATCCGTTTAACATTCAAAATATTATTTTTATTTTTCAAAAATAAAAAGTAAGAAAAAATATAATATAATTATAATTATAAATAATTATAATTATAATTATACATTATAATTAAAAATGTGTATTTATAATTTTCTTTAAAAAATAAGTGTTCTTAAATATTTTTAGAATATTAATTTTAACGGGTAATGGGTAGGCGGATACAAGGTCTTCTAAATTCGAACTAACAAAATCGATAGAGGTATTAAAAATATTAATCCTAACTTATAATTAAAAATGTGTATATATAATTTTCTTTAAAAAAATAAGTGTTTTAAATATTTTTAGAATATTAATTTAACGGGTAATGGGTAGCGGATACCAAGGTCTTTAAATTCGAACCTAACAAAATCCGATAGAGGTAGTAAAAATATTATCTAAACCCATATCATATTCACTATCCGAACCTGCCAAAATCGGATTAAATCTAATCGGGTACCCGCCGGTTTGGATAAAATTATCATTCCTACCAATGACCAAGAAAAATAAAAGAAAAAATATTCCTTTTAAAAAGAAAGTGATTTTCGTCTAATAGAAAAAGTTTTGGCTTGCCTAATATATTAAAATACCTTGAATTAAAAACATTTGCAATTTCGTTCTATTTTAATTTTTCTTCAATTTTATCCAATTTCAATAATTTGTAGCAATATCATCCTCAATCAATCGTAATTAAGAACGAAATTGTAAATAAAAAAAATTCATCCATTTTTATATCATCATGTGACCATAATAAAAATTTAAAAAATAAAAATTTGAAAAAAAATTCCACTAATTTACCTAAGTGATGTTGCACAAATTTAATTTTTAATTTTTAAAATAAATATATAATTAATAATTTAATAATAAAAATTTTTATTTTCAAAATATGGCATAAAAATTAGATTAATGAAATATTATTTTATTCAATTGCGTGTTTTGTTTTCATATTATCTATATGGTAATGATAAAAAAATCCTAATTCTTATAATTTTTTTAAATCGATAATATAGCCACATTATTTTTCATTTAATAAAAAAATAACTTTTTAATTATTTTAATTGCATGTTTTAAATATCATATTTCTAAATCTATAAATGTATTACTAACTAGATGTGAATATAATTTAATATTCAAACGACGTTTAAAATTATAGTTTTATTATTAATTTTTTTGTTTATTAACGATAACATACTAAAAAAAAAAAAAGGAAATTATTTTTCTATTTGCAATTATATCCTTAATTGCAATTGAGGGTGATATAGTTATAAAAGGTCAAATTCACGTGATTTTTATTTATAGTTGCAAATTTGATGAGTAAATTTTTCAAAATTTTTTATTTTAGCGCTTGACCAAAAGACTTTTTAAATTAAATTCTTGAATCATAGAAATTTTTTATCAAATCAATCTAGTGTTGACGTGGATTTCTCTTTCCTCTTACACAATTCCCTATTCGGCAAAAGTCTTTGAGCTAACTTATATCATTCGACTAAATTAAAACTCTATCTCAATTAATTGTACCGTTCTGCAACATAACTTTTATAATAGCTTTTAGAGTTTGAGTAGTTTTTTATAAAACATGAAACCCTTTAACTTTTAACATACAATCATACCCATTGTTTTTTTTCTCCGGAATTCAACTAATTAAACAACTAATGTCATTTTAAGTTAAACAACTATTTTTATTGAACACTTTTAATTTAAACCGCTCTAAAAACGGCTATCATTTAAAAGCTAATAACTAACAGTTAACATTGTTAAACAAATCTAATATTTCCTTACTTGTTATCTATGAATTAAACTTGCTTACATATAGTCTATAAGCTCATCTATGAATTAATCTAATAAAAATAAGAATATTTAAAAATGGTTTTCAATTTATCTTTCTTTTTTCCAGTAAATAGTAAAAAAAATCCTCGTTTCGATAAAAAAATTACTTTTGATTAATTTGGTCCATATATGAATTTATAGACCGAGTCTAAACAAGTCATTTATTCTACCTAATGCCTCAATAATTTCTTATCCCATTACTCTACCGTAAGTATTCATAAACCGCTGAAGATAGTTACAAATATCTACAGTAATAAGAAAACACTCATTACATAGAATCTGAACAAAAACGTTCTTGCAAGCATGAAATAACAAACGATGCTTCCATCCTCGAAGAAGGGGCTTAAAAAACTTCTTTCTTCTTACATTTTACATTTTACATTTTACATTTTAATACTAATAAATTGGCGTACGATGGTCGACTATCACCGAATTCCAGTTTCATCTTTATCTTATTATTGTAATTAAGTTGTTTATAATTCAAATGCGATATTCATTATTAATGTGAAAATTAATTTATTTTTAATCAAATTGAAAACATAAATATAGTAGTGTGAGAAATACAATATCATTAGATCCAAAACTGCAATTTTTTTCACACAAAATGCCCAAAGAGTAAAGACACCATCCTTAATTAGTGAAGAAGATGACACATAATTGCCAAGTCAGACAAAACAGATGTTTACTTAGGTAAGTAATATGGTGTTCACTAGCACCATGTTTTAATGCAAATGGATGCATTAAATTAACTTTCTCCTCAAAAATAAAATAAAATAAAATACATTTAGCTTAAAATTAAAAATGTTTCCCCTGGAATATGTTAGCAGTCATCATTTTGATCTTAATTTAATACCTCTTAATATAAATATTAACATTTTTTTTCAATTGCTTCAATGAAATCCAAAAGATTTAAAAATTAAAAAATTTAAATATAAGAAGCTCAAACATATTGTATGTTTATGAGAAAAATGTGATTAGACTAATTATCTAATAATATATAATTCAAATTGATAATTTGCTTTTTTTTTTTTTTGAAAAATTAATATTAAAAAAACAAGAAAATAAATAAAGAATTGTACTATTTGATTTAATACAGTAATTGATCCCTCTTATCTTAGAAAATACACTATTTAATTAGTTTATAAAATTTTAAAAATTAAATTATTTAGTTATTCTATTTGAATTAATGTAATTAAAAGAGAGAAATAATAATACATTCATACATTAACAAGACTGCGTTTTTTTATTAAAAAAAAAAACCAAGACTGCGTAATTTTCTGAATTCTACCCTATGAAAAGCCTTTAATTAAATTTCTCAAATTTTCTTATCTAATCATAATTATCTATTGGATCTTTTTTCTTTAAGAGATGTTTTTTAATTTTGGAAGGATGAAATTTGAGAGGATTTGGAGTTTATTATTATTATTATTTTGTAATTATAAATCTAAAGAAACCTTAGCAAGCTTAGACAGTTAATGGACAATCTGATTGCCTAGCCTACGAACATGAGAACATTGAAAAGAAGAGAAACTAGAAATGAAAACCTGTAAAGACAGCAATCTAGTCTCATATTCAATATCTGGGACGTTTTGAGAATTAACCAGGGAGATGTCATCGGACTCCAGAATTATAGGAATAAAATAATTCCCCTTTTAAACTTTAGGAACAAAATAATTTATATTTTTGAAATAATAGAGATTGATAAATGTGTTAGATTAAATTTTAGAGGCAAATAATAATTTAATCAACAAAACAAGAAAAAAGTATTTAGGACGTGTTCCACAATGCTATTTACACTGCTGATAAAAAAAAAAAAAAAAACATTTTGTTGAAATTATTGATGACTAGAATTTATTATTATTATTATTGATTATATAGGAAACAACAACATATAAGGTAAGCTACATAACATAAACACTTTTTACAACCAATATAAGATTACGAAGGATTAATCCGATAAGAACAATATAACAATTAAACAACATGTCCAAACTATTTTTTTTTAATTATATTTACCAAATTATTTTTCCTAATTAAAAGGAAGTGACAAAAATGTTCTCAATTTTAATATTTTCTTTTATAAATATAGTCATTTTTTTAATTTTATCAAATAATAATTTATTTTTTATTTTTTATAATAATCATGGCCCTGTATGTGTGCTATCCAAAATCAGCTTACATGACCATTAAAATTGACATTGGGATCCACATATAATACATCAATGCTTAGTGGGAAATCTACTAGTAACTTGGTAAAAATTCAAAATCGCAGTGTTCTTTTTATAGCTAAATCTTAAAATTTAACACCGCATGGCCACCCTAACCAGTAGGAAGGTAAGGTATTTTAACTGAGTTGTTAGTGTTTTCCGATCATCCTGTGATTTGTTACGCGGTATAAATTTGGTTAGTTTTTTTATTTTTGTGAAGGGTGACAGTATTTAATTACAATCTTTTTAACTATAAAAATTTTATTAATTTAATAAGCCAACGAGAGACCTATCTGGCTATTCGTATCGTGTAGTCTATAGCCCGCGGTATTTTTTTTGATCCATTAGGCTTCCTTAGGTATTAAAAAATTTGGATGATAGTATTAATATTAGGAACCAAAATTGATAGAATAAAAAATAAGACACTAATAGACTCTCGCTTATTTATGAAAACTCTTGTGATAAAAGAATTCAAACTCATAATCTCTCACTCCTTACATAATTGAAAAAATCAATCAAATCATATCTCATAATATATATATATATAATTTTTATCATTTAGCATTCCTAAAAATAACATTAACAAGAGATTGAGTTAACGCGTCTAATCTCGGTTGGGTTATATTCACAGATTGTAACATTTAGTCTATGAGTTACATTCCTCTTTATCAATAATGCTATGTTTGGTTTAGTTGCAGAGGATTGTAAGAAAATTTTTAATCATAAAAATGACATTATCGTTGAATGGCTAAGAAAACAAGCTAACGTTCAAACTCATACTCTAGGAAGAGCTTTTTACCGATATTCTATTCTCAAATAATGGAATTTTATTCCTGATTGTATTTGGTTGTTATTTTGTTACTGCAATTGGTTTTTATCCTTTAAAAAACAAAAAAATCTCGGTCGGCGGATGAGCGATTTTGGAGTCAACTTGTAAATGTATTATCAAGATCTGTGCCTTGCTCTCATTTCTTAATTTACACATGAGAACAACGAATCCTATTTTGCCACGTCTACAGCCAATACTTCATTGTCATTGGCTGTGATCATGTGTTGAAAAGCGTGTATCCATTGGTGGCTTCTACGCTTTCGCCGCCGAGAAAGAAGATCCTCCGCACGTTCACCGGCTATCAACGCTTCAAGGTCAAGCAAATACTTTTCTTTTTTTTTTTCAATTTTCACATGTTGATTAGAATTCGTCAACTTATGCCTAATTATTTTCTAGAAAGGGTGAGTTACAAAATGAGGGTGATTTTCCTCTTATGATTTAGAGTTTACAATTAAATTATCACCTTAAGAATTAATGAAGCATTATGAGAAAAAAAGGATACTGTAACTTTAGTTTTGTTTGTAACATTGTATTTTCTGGTAAGCTTTACCCACAAGGTCAGTAATTCAAAGTCTTGAGGTGCCATTGTTACATTGGTAGAGGTTTAAAACTTGAATTTGAAACCTGAAATTGTTGCTGTCAAAAAATTAAAAGTCTTCTTGAGGCGGGATTGTTATATTGGTAAAGGGTCGAAACCTGAATTTGTTGCTGTTAAGAAAGATTTAGTTGAATCATTTGATTTACTCTAAGCTTGAAAATGCATGTGTAAACAAAAAATAGAAAGAATTAAATAATTATAGTATCATTCTCCACTATCACCTGATCCTTTTGTGAAGATTTTATTTGTATTGTGAAGGAAATTAAATTTACAAAATGACATACAATCAATCCTCCTAAGCTCAATTTAGTAGTTATGCATTTCTTAGAACTACAATGCAAGTCTAATTAGTTCCATTTTCCACTATTTTGAAAAGAAAAGAAACATATTTCGGATCACATTAATTAGTAATTAAGTAGGTCAATTTATTCCTATGCATTTTTTCTAACAGGAAAAACTTATATACAATGGGTGTATAAATTTACAAATTTAATAACGAAAATTGGCATAATAAAAATACAGAGCATTTTTTCATTAAAGTGTTTTTTCATTAGAGAGAAAGAGATAAAAATATTATAAAAATACAAATTTAATAACGACAATTGAGTATTTACATACAATTAGATATTCATAATTAGCACAAAAACTACAAGTTTGTTCGACAAAATTAATTGTTTTGATAGTTGTTAAGTGTTTAGCTGTTAGCTATTTGAATAGTTTTTTATAAAAAAACTAAAAATTAAACGTTAGATGAATCAACTTTTTATAAAACCTTACCTCAACATCTAAAAGTTAGTTCAAATGTTATGTCACCGAATATCCTAAAATATAACGTTTAGCTATTTAAAAAATTTTTGCCGAATATAACCTACAGATAACAAGATAAAAATATACACAAACAAGCCTAGCTAGCTAAGAAAAATAATACTAGTGTTGTCTTTCAATTAGATCTTCATTAATCAAAAACTTAATGCAGAATGCCAGCCTTTCATTCTAATTAGTCAAAGAAATAATTAATTAACTCACTCTAGAATCTAGAGTCTAAGAATTAATGCGAATCTAGAGTCTAAGAATTAATGCTTAAATTCATGAATTAATTAACAATTTAATCAACCCTCTTCTTAAAAACTTAAGACAGCATTTCTTTTCCCTTACATTATGGAATATTTTTATCACAAACTTTCAGCTTAAAATACCCTCCAAGCACCTCTCTTGCTGTACACTTCTATAGACAAATTTCAATTTGATAGAGAAAGAGAAAAGAGAATGGCTCCTTCTCTACTCAAACTCACAACCATTCTCTCTGTCCTTTTACTACTGCTAGTATCATTTCATACTCAAAAATCCCTCGCAGCCGAAAGTGAAGACGATGAAGAGTACATTCTTGATACCCCGTTGCCTAATTTTAGGTCAAGAAGTAGTTTCTTGGCAAGAGTTATAAGAAAAGGTACGCGTTGCAATGCGTTAAGTTCCAATATATGTAATGGAGTGTATGCAAACAATGGCACAAGCTTACTCTACTGCTGCAAGAGCCATTGCCGGAACGTTCTTGGAGATCAGAACAACTGTGGCGAGTGCGGTAGCAAGTGCAAATTTGGAGAGCGTTGCTGCCATGGAAGCTGTATTAGTGTTGCTTATGATGCAAATAATTGTGGCGGGTGCAATAAAAAATGCCCTCCGGGAGTTCCCTGCAACTACGGAGTTTGTGGGTATGCTTAGAACAAACTACTATACACATATATAGATATATATATATATATATATATAGATGGTTTAAAGATAATAATAAATAAAGAAAATTATAGTTCGTTAGAGATTATTGGTAGATGAGTCTATGGTTTGGGATGTATTGTTTCTCAAGAGAGTGAATGGGAAGGGCTTTTTTTCTTTTTTTAAATATTGTACTTAAAGATTGAGTTTTTTTTTTTTTATTTATTTATTTCATTCAGCAGTATAAATGAACAAGGTTTTGTGTCCGTAATAAGAGGAAGAGAAGCCTATTTCAAGGTGGTTCGTTGTTATTTTTATTATGAGTAGCTAATTCTATAATTAATTACATAGAAATTATTAAGTAGAAAGTCCAATTTCTTTCTCAAAAACACAGCAAGCCAGCATTTTCAAGAATCCACTCAGCTTCTTAACTAACCTACTATTCGATAGATGATTCACAAGTTAAAAGGGCTAAATAAATAATTTAACCTTTTAATTTTGACAAAAAAAAAAATTGTATTACGTTAAAGTTTAAAATCGATAAGATGGCACTCTATATTTCGCTTTTTGTAATAATTTGAAATGTTCTTATGCTAAAAACAACAAATTTTACATTTAAAATATTGATTTAATATGTTGTTAATATAAATTTAACCGTGAATGTTGTATACTCGTAACTCCAATGCTTTTGAAAAACCTATCATTGCTCTTGAACTTCTATTTTTGTATATTTCACTAAAAGTTCTGTTTTTATTTTTCATGTCATCTTCCATCCTTCCTTCTTTATAGCTTAAATCACTAAGTTTGAAACTCTCAATTTGATAAAACAGATGGAAACAAATTCCTTCTAGCTCATGGTGAGGATTAATGTGGAGATTCAAAAGATTTGTGGTGCTGATACCATCATTATAACGAAGGCTTTCTTTCTGCTTTTTTGCATAAAATATCTAGGTATACGGTAGCTTCCAGAAAGAGAATTTGAAACAGAGGGATTGTTTTTACCGGGTTAAGACTTGAGAATTGATTTTTTTTTTTTTTTTTTTTCTAGCTCCTGGATAGAGAAGATATATAGAATATAGATTCAAAAGATTTGTGGTGCTAGATAATCATATAAAACGAAGGCTTTCTTTCTGCTTTTTTGCATAAATATCTAGGATAAAGCGGTAGCTTCCAGAAGAGAATTTGCAACAGAGGGATTGTTTTTACCGGGGTTACAGACTTGAGAATTGATTTTTTTTTTTTTTTTTTCCCTTGGTTGTCCTGGGAGTATAAGTTTTCTAGATGTTATTTGGCACGTTGGTTAAAAATATTCGAAAATTAGTTAAAAATTAGTATATTTTTTTTTTTTTTTTTTTTCCTTGGTTGTCCTGGAGTATAAGTTTTCTAGATGTTATTGGCACGTTGGTTAAAAATATTGAAAATTAGTTAAAAATTAGTATAAGTTTCCATTGTTTGGTTACATTATTGAAAATTAGTTAAAAACATTAAAATTTTAACTCATAAGACTATACTAATAATAATAATAACAATATAAATTTCGTATTTTAAAATTTTTATTGTTAAATATGAGAATAATGCAAAAAAAAAAGGTAAATTATGATAGACGCCGGTGAGCGACGGTGACTGGTGGTGAATGGTAAGTGGTGGTAGTGGTTATTGATGATTAGTAAATTTAAAAAATATGGATTTATTAGATTAAAATAAGTTTGTCAAACTCCAAAAAATCTTTTACGCTCTTGAAAATGAGAAGCCATTTTCCTTAAAAATGACTTAATTTTCCTTTGATCAGGAAAATATTTTCTGTTGACTTATTTTCTTAAACAATCCAAACAACGGAAAATTATGAAAATTTCCTGGAAGTTATTTTACAGAAACAAACAGAAGTTAGGTATTTGATATTTCGTCTTCAAGGGCAAGTAATTTCCTTGTCTCAATGGAGGGTAGATCGTAAATGAGTGAGGGAGTAGAAAGAGAGGAAGAGAATGAAAAGAATTTTTGTTTTACTTAAAATTTAATATTTCATTAACATTTACAAATATATTGTTATTTGATTCTTCTTCAAATTTGATCAGTAAGGTTTATATGCAACTCTTGTTTTAAAAATTTTTGAGTTTGTTTTTAATTTTAGAAAAAAAAAATTATTTGCTATTTTATTCTTATATTAATTTCAGATAAAAAAAAAAGTCTTAGATATTTAAAATGAAAAAATGGAATAAGAATCAAAATCTGAAACTGTAATATTAAAAACCCAAAAAAAAAGTATTCTTACATTAGTTTTAGAAAAAAATTAATTTATGATTTTTAATAATCAAATTTTGAAACTGTAATCTGTATTTTAGGAAAAAAAATATTTTAATTTATAAACTTATTCTTATACTAATTTTAGGAAAAAAATGTAATAAAAATCAAAATATGAAACTGTAATTAATTTTAGAAAATTATTCTTACATTATTTTCATTTTCAGTAAGTGGAAATTGGAGCTTCTAAATCATAGTTGACGGTAAGCTTTTAAGTCAATATTGCCTGAGAACTCTAGCTCTTACATAAAGATCTTGCTTTAGGTGAAAAGAAGCTGCAATCCAATAACTTACTAACCAGAGTAAACCAATGCCCTTGAATTGCCACCTCGTATCAGTCACAGAAAACGAATAAGCTCAACTGCAAATTTTCCTTTCTTCGTAGAATTTATTTCTCCTATCTGAGTTAAAGCAATTCATGCATTAGAATGACGATCTAAATAATAAAAGTAAATTATAACAAGAAGTTCAAATACTTCACCTTTAATCTGCCTTTCCCACTGACTGAAACAATATCTCCAGTTTTCAGTGTAGTATTATTTTTTGTGATGGTCGTCCAATTCACGCGCACGTCCTTGTTACTGCAGAGACAGAACATTAGGTGTATATATAAAATTCTCCATCTAATAAATTGCCAGGTTATGGCACTTCCAACTATCGATTTGCTTCTCATCTAGATGCAAGTTATCAAAGTGACCAATATAATTACTCTTTGAAAACAACTATGCATCAATTGAGGCACGTGTCATTCTAAAGGCTGAAACGAGTTGTCTTCTGGTCAAAATTCCTGATATTTTCAGAGTTCAGGATTCTTACTATTTTCTTTCATGCAGATTCTAATTAAATATGCATCAAACCAAAACCAAAAGAAAACAAATTGACCCAGGAAATCCCAAAGCTATTTCATTTGTTATGTGACCATAACTGCCATTGAAATGATTTGATCAATTTACGATATCAAGGGTGCTAAAACTTACCTCTGTTGCACCAAATATCCAAATGTCCAGTAGAGTTGTGCAGAGACAAAACCAAAAACATGATGGTCGGAATGGCATTACCAGATGGGAGATTCGGCTAAAATGGCCTATTTATGTGCATTGATGACCAGAAATATATCATTTTACAAATAAGCAGTAACTTTCTTGAAGGAATTGGTTAAAGAAGTCTGCAAATATATATAAGATAGAAGACAGCAGGCAAAAAGAACTCGAGTATTTAATATGGATACGTGGATGGACAATTAAAGATATGTCTCACTAAGTATAGGTAGTGGTCATAATGTACATCCAGAGTGGATATCAATGGATAAATTCCACGGAAGCAAAACAGGCATTACCTAATCAAATCAACTAATTTCGATCGTGAAATCTTGAATCCAGCGCTAGCTAGAGCATCAACCCTGAGTGACGTTTCTACTGTTTTAAATGTATTAGTCCTGAAAACAGAAAAGAGCACACAATGTTCAACTCAAGCCAAATGTGAATATGTCCAAAATTATGCAGAAAACACCAAACATGATAGCCTGCAACCTTGGCGGTTCATATTCAAGAGCAAGCAACGGTATCCTTGCACAAGAAACTGAAACATTACTAACCTGCAAGACAAATAAGTAAAATAATAACACAGGAGAGCATTGAATAGCATCACATCAAAAGCCACCAAGTATACAATCTACAGGACCAAATTTCTAATTTTCTAATCCATGCGCCTGCTGAGAAATGGTTGAGCAATGCCACCTAATCGGGTAAGAGATCTTCAAGAAGAATTTTTTCTCATATCATAACTAAGAAATTCTAGCTTCACAAAAATTTATATGCATTGGTAATTGGAACTTGTCCTGTCAAAATATCAAGCCAAGGTCATAAATTTCCTATGAAACAGTGTTCATTATGATATATTCTATAGAGGAAAATAATATTTATTTTTGTAGACATTAATAATTTATTTAGATACATGATGGCATCCATGGTTATTTAAAGAAGGCTTATATACCTTGTCCAGTGATGACATGATAAAGTCGACAAGTTCTGGAACAAGAAGGATTTGAGCCCCTTTGTCGCCCTGGATAATCATTAAAGCAGCAAACAAAGATTTATACGAGTTAACTTATCATAATCAAAAGGCTCAAGCTTGCTGATAAACTGTGCTCCTTTCCTCTTTCTTTTGGTCCTTAAGTTAGCTTATTCTACTGCTCAGCTCAGGAAGGCTATAAAGAAATATTACTTGACAAAATTACTTGGCAAAACAAGTCTTTTTTTTATTCCTTCTTTTTGTCTTGAATTCCTATTTCCGTGCTCACTTTCAAAGCATTAGCTTTATCTAATCTGCACCAAGTCTAGTTCAACTTCAAACTTGAATTCAAGCACCAATTAGAGATGGCACTAGTTTTATATGGAATATGCAAGCTATGGTCAAGCAAGCATTTGAAGCTAGAAACTAGAACCAAATTTGCGCAATAACTCTAATAGCCAAGCTAAGGTTTGAGTGATAAAATAGCTGAAATAGTTTCAGGAAGAATCCAAAAAATATATTGACATAGTACCTGCAAGATTATATCCCCAACCTTTTCTCTGGAGATCCCCGCACCTAAAATTGCACCAAGGAAGTCACCATGAGAACAGGTTTGGAATGCAAAGTTACCTGTAATACTGGAAAGCCTAGAGATGTTAAAGAAATCTGAAAAATCATCAGAAAATTTAGAGTGGATTTCTAGTTTGTCAAAGAGAAGGTCAGTACAACTTACCTCAATGCTGCAATTATATCTGGATCATTTGTCAGCGTGTCTGGATGACCAACAGAAAGCCTGCAACGCTCAGCCTAGAGGATTTGGGAGATATATCAATGAAAAATCGGAAAACTGGAGAGAGATAGAGAGCTTATTTGTTTTAACCTGCGGGTATCCTCCCTGAGCAACTACTTTAATGTCAGCTAGTTTTTCCAATAGACGTATTGACTCCTTCAATGTTGGTGGGGTGAGAAAATCTGTATGGAGTACTTCCCTTCTTGATGATGCTCTTTTAGCCTGCAAAAAGCATAGAAGACAAATTAGAAACTGAGCAAGATTAAGAGATGTTTAGTTTCACATTGATGAATAGGCCTTTAACTTTACTTATACAGGAAAAAATCCTAGCCTTTTTGTTCTTATTAGAGAAGTGAAATAAAGAAAACATATGTTTAGAAGCACATATAGTTAGGAAATGGTTCCAGAAAGGCTGAAAAATACCATGTCAAGGATATGCTTAACTTCTTCAACGATACTTCTGTCTCCTATACCCTTGAGTAAATCATTGACGTCCCCCTTCATAGCTTGTGCCAAGTGACATATCCCGAGGGCTATAAATGGGTTATTGACTAATTAAATAATGTGATTAGATTAGATATAAATCAAAAAGTTGCATACACCACCAGCCCATAAATGTTAACAAATGTTTCATAAAAGATAGAAGATAATAATAATAATGCATGTCAGCATATTCCTAATTTCCAATATTGTGAAAGATTTTAATCCATGAAATGATCTAGCCAAGCATTTCTGCACCCAAATAATTTTGCACCAATGCAGGAATCAATGTAAGGATCACTGGCACATAAAATTAACATCATCTTTGCCAGACCAAGCATCAAAATTTAGAGAAACCCCAAGACTTATGTCAGGTGTTCACAAAAGCTGTCATAAAGCAAATCCAACACTCAATTCGCTAGAAGCCTTACTCTAGCTAAAACAAACTAATCAATTCCACATATTCAAAAGGCTTAGCATAGAATAGCATTATTGGCGAAGAAATTTTCACTTACTTATCACACTAGAATTGGATTGAAGGAAAACTTCTTGTACAATATCTATGTCAGGCATTTCATCAAACATCAGATAACCATTTCAGTTTAAGCATAATCGAGTAATCACCACACAAATTAAAAGAAAGCCCAAAAAAAAAAAAAAAACTTTCATTAGCCTAATGGGTATAATTAATAGCTCAATTTCGTTTTTGTTCTCAATTGAAGCGGTATCTACTTATAAGGCATGAATAGTTTAAGTCGTAAACCTGAGTTTCTCAAAGGAGTGATGTGAGGAAGAAGAGAGGAAGGTTTTCTATAAAAAGAGAGGGCGGTGTTTCTGTGAAGAGGGTGAGATGGTGCTAAAGCACGAAATGCTCCTCTTATAAGCCAGGTTGTCGTTGCAGTGCTGGTGACAGCCATTGTTTGTGGTGCAGGTTAGCATATAGAGATTAGTTTTCTGATTTTGGCTAAAACGGTCGACCGTCCAATTTTAAAAATATTGATGCAATACTCCTTTGTCAGCATTCTTTTAAAAAAAAAAAAATTAAATTAAATTTTTATTGCACTCCCTTAAAAATTATTTATTTTTCCTAAATCAAAAGAATCATGAACGGACAAAAATGATTCCACAAATTCTATTCAACTCAAATATTTCACACATCTAATATAAGAATTAAAAAAAAATTCACGCGTAAAATCAATATAAAAGTACCAAATTCAGTCGCTATAAATATGAAACAAAATATATTAAATAGCTAAATAAAAAATCGATTATCAATACTAATGCAAGAAGCTTTCAACATATCTAATGGTAAAAATAATTATAGACAATAAAATAAAATATTATTATTAATTATAAGATTATATTTTAATTAGCATCTAAGATTTCTATTGAAATACCCCGAATTTTTATTTTCTAAACTTTGGAATTTTTATTAAATCAAAAATCTGAATTTTTGATAATATGGGTTGTTACGATCGAGCAATTCTAACTTTCTAAACTTTTGGAATTTTATTAAATCAAAAAATCTGAAATTTTTGATAATATGGTTGTTACGAATGGCAATTCTAACTATTGGTCCCAATTTGAATTGGGCCCAAGCCCAAAACGCGAATTATTTACCGGGATTTTCGATTGGACATGCCTTACAATGTGATGAAGTAAAATAGGATACAAATTATTATTTGATTTTAAATATATGATTATGTTGTAATTGGTATATAACTAAATTAGAATATTATTAACTGTTATATTTTATTGAGTAAATGAGGGAATGTTTTCTAACCTAACTGATAATAAAATAAATCAAACCAAACTCGGAATCAAAGCCGATTTTTGAAAATCCACAACGGATAATCTGAAAAACCCAAGTGAAAAACACTACAAATCAAAATAAAAATCGACAGCTAAATCATTGAGTTGGACGCACAAACCGCCTCTCGAATCGAACCGGGAATGGCCTTGAAACCTCTAGAAACACTCCCTTTTTTTTTATTTTTTTTCTCTCTTCTCTTCGCACAATGCAAGAGCAGCGCCGCTCTCCTTCCTCCTCTCCTCCTCCTCCTTCTTCTTCTTCTTTTTCTTCTTCTTCTTTCTCTTCTTTCATTCCTTTTCCTTTCTTTTCTTGGAATCTGCGTCGGCGTTGTGTTGCCAGCCGCTTCCAGCAGAGGCGATCGACCACGAGCCGCCACCTGCACCAGCTCGGCGCCCGCTCCACGTCGCAGCGCCTCCGCCAGCTTCCTGGGTCAGATCGCGCGGCACGAGCAGACCCAACCTCCCTCTGCCTTCGGTCGAGCAAGCGTCGCGCCATCGCCACCGCCTAGTCGCCGCTCCAGCGCGCCTCCGACCACCAACAGCCACTGCTCTCCGATCCGGCACGCGTGGAAATTTCCGATCTAGCAGAAATTCGACAAAAAAAAAAATTATATTTGGGGTATAAATTAATTTAAATGCATTTTCGTTAAATAATTTAATTTTATTCATGGTAGTTAATTAAATTTAGTCATGTTAGTTTAATTTTAATAATTTAGTTGATTAATTTGATTTTTGTAATTTTAGTGAATTAAATCGATTTTAGTAATCTTGATTAATTAATTTGATTTAGCAATTTTGATTAGTTAAATGAATTTAATTTGGTTAGATCTACTAAAGATCTACTAAATTAATTTAATTAGTGTGATCCATTGATTAATAAAAATTACTTGAATAATTAAAATTTAACATTCGTGTAATAAATAACATTGTTAGGCAATGATGATATTAGAATTAGACAATTTAATAATTTAATGTTGATATGGAAAATATGGCAGGATGGGAGAAATATGACTTGTTTGATTGCCCGATGGATGGGCTGGTGGTTTGAAAATTTGATGAACTGTTGATATCTAAAGGTGGATAGTTCCATTTTTAGGGGAGATGCGCCCGAAATTTCGGTAGAAAAAATAAAAATAAAATTTCGGTAGAAATAAAATAGAGTTCTAAGAAAATAAAAATTGAATTAATATCGAGAGTAGATTACGTAAAAAAAAAAAATTTAGGAGAAGACCCAGATAATCTATATATGCATATATAACAAGTGAATTTGAAATGACTGTAACCGAAATAAATAAATGAATGTGAAATTATAAGTTTTTGGATTAAAATTCTTATTTAGAATTTTCTTGTTTTATTTTAAAGGTTTGGAATACCAAAATGCGAGAACAAAGCTGGAAGCATGTGGCTATACAAACAGTCCTTTAAAGGACAATAAAGAACTGTGGAGTAGTGCTTAGTACTAGTATCATCCACCTGCATTCATTGCATTCATGCTAAATGTTACATGCAGTGTATTTTTATTGAATTGCCAATATCGTGCTGCACTATTTGTATTGCTTGATTCGCTGTGATGTGATATTGCTGTGCTTTGTTTTGTGGAATTGGGATGAAGTGGTTCACCATGGGTGTTTGTGAGAATGGTATAATGTGATATGGATCCTGAATATGATAATGAAATTGCGGGTAAATGGGAGATGGCCGCCCCGTGTGCACCTGCTGCTATGATCTGTGGTGATATGGAACAGGTTCTGGTTTCTTTATTGGCGCACTGATAATCCTAGATTCTGATCGAGCCCGCAGGGTGGCCTTCCTGTTGTGAGCGCCTGATGATCTAAGATTTGATGGAAGAACGCCGGTACCTCCTGTTGGTAAATGAAAAAGCAAAAGAGAGAAATGGAAAAACAATGGAGGGCTGGTTCAACGTGAGGAATTAGACCCGGTCGGCCAGTATGGGGGATCGGCTCCCTGGTGCAACGTGAGAGGATGGGCCAATGTGGGAGGACGGCTCATCGGGGGTTCGTGACTCCACTGACTAATTTCAGTGAAATGTGATTATAATGAAGGAATGATAATAAATTGTGGTTGCTGTGTATTGTCATTTGTGTGACACTGCATGATCATAAATTTAAGTCGATAACAATAAAAATATTTTAGCATTTGTATGATTGGTGGGGGGTGAAGGGTTTATCTAACCCTACTCATTGAGTTTTGGCGTCAACTCCTGCCCTGCCCCTATTTTTTTTCCAGGTAATTAGAAGAAAAGATAATCCTATGGAGTTGAGACATAAGTTATATGAAGACCTGTAAACAATAAATTAAATGATGGATGTAAATATACAGGTAGAACGTTTCGCAATTGTATTCTAAGTGGGGTTGTAGATGAACTGTAACTAGTGATACTAATTGGAAATAGATTAATTGGGTCCTGTACCACAGTTATGATAGTAAATGAGAATTGCTAATATAGGCTTACTAGGGCTTCGGGGGCCTTAAGCCACCCAGGTCCTAGTGCCGGTCCGGCTTCCATGGAAATGGGTCGTGACAAAGTTGGTATCAGGCATGAAGTTAGGCCTTAGGAAAATCAATTGCGGAACATAGGAAAAGAAAGTAAAGGATCCCTATGTTGGATCGGCCGTGAACCAACAAAGGGTTTTGTAGTCTGGAATTGAATTCCATTTTTAGTGGCCGGTGGAGGACCCATCGTGCCGAGAAAGGAAGGAAAATCTGTATGAAACTGTAGGATGAGAACTAAAGGGACATAAATAATAGGAAATTATAAATAGGTCTGGGTAACTGACGTTTAATAAAAATAAATATTTTTGAGCTTTGCTAAATCCTCCATCTATTTTGAAGCACGAAGATCAGTTGAAAATTGGTTGTTAATGGCCTGATCACGCCAAGTACCTTGATTCGACAAGAGACAACTTGTTCAAAAATTATTTGAAATTGTTTAGAAAAGAATTGGGAGTTTTAAAGACAATAAGAACGTGAGTTTATTTAAACTATGATTTGAAAAAAAAAAAAATGTTTGATTATTTGCGTATTGGAACTTGTTTTTATTGTGAAGTTTCAATTAATTGCTGGTTTTATTATTCTGTCGGCATGTCAAAATTTGTTTGATTTTAGAATTTAAATGATTTACAAGGATTACATGTTTGATTTATTTTATTGTCTATCCCGAGGACTAAATTAGGCTTACAGAAATTGATACTGATAAATTAATAATAAATGGTATAGAAATTTAATATAAATGGTAAGATATGAATTTGAATGAAAATTTCAATTAAGGATAATTAGATTATATCTAAAAAATGGTTACGGTTAGGTAATAAAAAGTGAAATTGGTAAATTTAAATTAAATTAAGGTTAGAAAATGAGGGGTTTTTAGGACAAATAATCATCACTAAGACAAGAAAATCATCAATTAACTGAGGCCAAATTTAAGGTGTAAAAAAACAGAGAAAATTTGTAATTATTTAAAGTATAACATTAAGAGAATAGAGACCTAGAGCGCATAATTAAAAAAGAATCAGATGTAGAAACGATAAATTGTGTTAAGGATAATGAACAGGTATGATTGAGGTGGATGTTGATATGTAGAAATTTAGATTGGTAGTAATTAAAAAGTATAAAGGAGAAAAAGGTGAATTAATTTGTGAAAGAAAATAATCGTTAACTGGATATGATATTGAGTGAGGCAGAATGACTGGACATAATAAGAAAGCAAGTAAAAATTTCCTTTGGAGAAATTTCAAGTATGACGGGTAAGAATTGTAGTACTTTTTAAGTATAATAAAAGTGGCTATGAATAATTGGGCAAAAGTTTGAAAAAATAACTAAATAAATAAAGATAAGATATAATAATAATAAAATAATAAATAATAAATATTAAGAAAAATAAATTTTTGGGAAAAATTTAAGGTGTGGAACCGAGTCTATTTGGACAGACTAATTAAATGAGAAAGGAATAGTATAATGGAGATTAGCAATATTTTTTTGGTTTATAGAGATTATTTAGGAATGAATAATGTAAAGTAGACTGGATAGATGAAGTTGGAAGGACTGGTCTCGTGTGGAGATAGACAATTCATTTTTTGTGTTAACTACAAATAAGATTTTAGAAAATACAATGGGTGTTGATTTCAAACTTTTCCGAAAAATAGG